ATCTGTAGGTGTGTTGGGAGCGTGCGATGGGGCTGGTCCCCTGTATGAAGTCATTCAGGGGCTTTTCAAAGCCTTCAAAAATCAGATAATCAGATGATTTTTTTCAAATCGTTCGAACTGAGGAAGGATCTTCAATCTTCCACTTGAGCCCACACTCCGCCAGCAGCTGAAGGGAGGGGGACAGTAGTGGATCACAGGGGAGTTTTTACACTGCTAGGCCTGGATTTTCACAACTTTTTTTTTTTTTAAAGATTTATTTATTTATTTTATATAAGAACTGGTGTACTGGTCAGAAGCACGGGAGTGTGAGAGAATTCACCAGAACCAGAGCGGGGAGCAGAACAGGCAGAAGGACCGAAGTACACTGCTGAGGGGAGCAGCGGGCGAGGCAGGAGAGGTCTGCGCGCCATGTGGGGTTCTCCCTGGGCGGCAGGGAATCGAACCGGTGCTGCAGAGGCTGCAGACAGTTTCACAGTGTGGCACTCAACCACTGCGCCACCAGGTAGGCCCGATTTTCACAACTTTTATTCCTAATTCATTGATAGGAACAGTGTAGAGACACAGCAGCATGTGAAAATGCTGGGGCTCTCTAGGTGCGTGTCAGCAGGAAATGTTTTCTGATTAGGAGACCGGAGGCTGCTCTCAGAGCCGCCATCTTAGGTCAGTCCTCCACGGCCTCCATTTTAGGTCAGTCCCCCTCTGCCTCCCACTGGTCTCCCTGATCGGTAGCTGTAGACTTCTTTACAGCTTCTGTTATTAGTGGGGAGGGATGGAAGTTCTGGGGTAGCAGCTAGTCATGGATGTCTTTGGGGAGACCTAGTTCACAGGCAGGACCCCAAAGTCATTCTTCTTTAGGGTCCCAGATCTCAGACTGAGTGACTGTGGTATACTTGCTCCTGCCTGGATAGATCCCAAGTGGCTGTTTTCCTCTGCGTCATGTGGAGTACCCTGTTTCTGTACTTTGTGCTTCATCTTCCCCAAGCATGTGGGCTTCTGCCATGCCTGTACTCTCCCCACGCCAGGGCCCCTGCCAGGCTGCAGCCCTGCTATCTCAATCTCACCTAGACTGCTGCCTCCCCATGTTTCTCTGAGACATGTTTGCCACTGAGATGTCTGGCTTTTGATGGCTCCCATCCTACTGCAGCGTTGGGTCTCTGACATGCAAGGGGTGTGCTTCGTTGTCACCCCCATGCTTCAGGATTCTCCCTGGTATCCAGTTCCTGAATACTTGTTAGGTGTTCCACCCGTGAGGGACAATGCTTCATTTTTTTTGAGACATATTTTCTGTCCCAGCATCTGACCTCTCCTTGAGAAAGTTTCTTGTACATTTCAAAGAATGTATATTCAATTCTTTGGGGATGGAAAACTTTATAGTTGTCTACTAAGTTCAAAGCTTCATTAAAGACCTCATTTCCTTGTTTACTTTCTGTCTTTATAATCTATCCATGGGTGTAAGTGGTGTATTGAGATTTTCTACTATTATTGTGTTGCTGTCAATGAGTTGCTTTCGTGCTGATTGTTGTTGAGTTATATTCTGGGGGGCTCCTGTATGGAGTATGTATATATTCATGTCCATTTTAGCTTCTTGATGAATTGTCCCCTTGATCATGATGTCATACACATCTTAGTTCCTAGTTACCTTTTTTGGCTGAAGGTCTAATTTATCAGATTTAGAAATAGTAGTTTCTTCCTTTTTCTCTCTTGGTGTTATTGGTTTGATATACTTTGCTTCAACCTTTCACTCTAAGTCTTTGTCTTTAAATCTGAAATTATAATATGTACAAGTCATTCTATTTATCCAAATTTTTATTTAGATAGCTTTCCTTGCTGGTTCTCTCAGTTTCTTCATTTCTTCTTTGTGTCATTATCTTAGGTTTTTCTGTTTGGTTAACACGTTTTTTGCATTGTGGTTATAGCAAATTCTGTGTCTGAGTGTATTTTGTGCTGGTAGCAATCATTTGATTATATAGATTCTGTCTTCTTTCTCCCTTTTAATGTTTATTGTCTCATTACTCTTGTTTATAATTTTGATTATGTATTACTATTGATCCTGTTGTTTAATGTCTTATATTTTTTCCTTTTATCTTTTCCAGTATCAGAACCCCTTCTCGCATTTCTTGTAAGGCGGTTGTATATTGTGTATATATTGTGTGTCTGGGCCACATCTTCTGTATTCAGTTACCTGTCCTTGGGCGCATAGGTTGCTTCCATAACTTGGCTATTGCAAATGGTACTGCAATGAACATATGAGCACATATCCTTTCAAATGCATGTTTTTGCATTCCTCAGAATAATACCTAGGAGTGGACTGGCTCTAGCATTAACCTTCTGAGATCATGCCAAACTGTTTGCTGTAAGGCTGGCCCAGTCTGCAATCAACCAACATTCTCCACGTACTCACCAATACTTGTTATTTCTTAACTATTTTCAAATGGGCTACTTTCACAGGGGTGAGGTGGCTAGGACCATGTATGGCACAGATTAGTACTTAATAAATACTAGTTCTTCTTAATGATTAAAATAACATTAAATGTTATTTTCTATCCTACCTCATAAGGACAGATTGCAGGTAGGAATTTGGAAAGGAATTCTCATTAAAATAAAAAGTGTCTGTGACTACTATCCTTGTATATAATTGTCCTTAGTATCCTAAGCAGTAGTTTTAAAAATTGGAATGTTCAATATTTAGAATTTTGTGGTTATAGTTCCAATAAATATTAGGTAAAGAAATAGGACTTTTCTTAGAATTAATACAGTATTGGTTTGCCCTTTTATCCTTGACTTTTTTTTAGTACGCTATACCCAAAAAGGGCATGGATAATTAACAAAGTATTTCCAATATTAATTGGTTAATAGTTAAGGAACATAATGTAAACTAGAACATTAACAATGTCAGTCACCTTATTTCCACCTTTATATTTTATCCTAAAATATTTATTTTGTAAATTGATAATCATAAACAATACAAAGAATAGTATAATGAACATGCAGGAATACATTATTTTAAATTCAAGTGTTATAAACATTATAATTTTGGAGCACAATTTTAAAACAAACCACAGATATCATATTTCATTCTTGTATATTCCATTATTTGACTCTATCAGATAAGGGATTTGAAAATACAATCCATTGACTACATCATATTCAACACATTTTTTAACTATTCAATCACATTTAAAATGCAACTTTTTGTTAAAATAATATCAGATTAGTGTAAATTAGTATCAATCTGAAGTCTACCTGTTTCACTTGATGTCTCTTCTATCTAGAATGATACCTTTTGTTCCCTTTCCTTCTGGAAACTTCTGGTTCTTGATTCTTATCCTTCTGAAGCAACAGGGCTATTTTAATATAGACTATGCTGCATTCTAAAGTGAATATTTTGGATTTTTATTGTATAATTTAATATGTTCATCTGTGTTTTTATTTCCTATAAAATGGTTGGTACATATAGACATTTTTTAATAACTTTAAATAGTTTTAAAATACATGTCCTTTTCCACAACATTTACTACTGATTACTGTCTTATTATCAGTACTTGGTCCAATTAAAATAATTAATTTGATTTTCTTTTACCTGTCATGACTAGTTTTTCTTTTATCCCCAATTATCTCTATATTTTTTAAATTACATTTTTTTTAATTGACATAGCATTGGGTTATAATGGTATGTAAGATTTAAGGGTATAGGTTCCCATCTCTTCAAATGTTCGTTGCTACTCTATGCCCACCACAGAACACTAATATTCCCCTATCATAGTCATTGAATACCACTAGTTATATGCTTTGAAATAAAAGGGCTTATGTGGTCTATTTCATTGTTGTTGTTTTCCTAAGAAAACAAAAAAAATGTTTTTTTGTTTCCTAAGAAACAAAAAAAATGTGAAATAAAAAAAAAATTCATAATTAACATTCCTCTTTTAATCCATTAACTGTTTTATTATTCTAATTAGCCTTAACCTCTTAAAAAAGATCTAGGTTTTATTGTGTTATAGATGTAGAGTTCAAGGAACAGAGTTCTAAGTTGAATGAGGACTAGCTGACAAAATATCAAATGTGATCTCCTCAGACTGTATTTTAGTCTTAATCAAAGTTACCAAGATCAGGCCTCCCTGGTGACACATGGGGTTAAGACGCAGCCTTTGAAGCTATTTGCATCCTCTCCAGCATGAGTTGAATCCCCAGCCGACCAGGGAGCAACCCATATGGTGCAGCAGACCTCTCCTGACTCGCCCGCTGCTCCCCTCAGCAGTGTATTTCAGTCAATCTGCCTGTTCTGCTCCCTACTTTGTCTCTGGTGAATCCTCTCACCCCCCACCCTCTGGTCTGTACCCCTGTTCTTGTATACATAAATAAATCTTTAAAAAAAAAGTTGCCAAGGTCTAGTGCACATATATGATTCAAATTTTACTTATAGAAGACCAAACATAATATAAAGATAATATACCTTATGAATTTGTATGCTATAGTATATAAGATTTAAGGGTACAAGTTAGTTTTATTCTTAGGCAAAGAATAACGTATTTTAAGATCAAATTCCTACTTTTAAATATATTCAAAGGGAAAAACAACTGAAAATTGTAACGGGAAATAAAAATCCATGGTAAGACAAAAAAAATTCTGGAAAAGCCGCATCATAAAGTTGTTTTAAACATTCTATTTTATAGAACACTAAATAAGAGAACAAAATACATTGCACATCTGAGAATAATCACCTCATGATAAGATACATAAAGGTTAAACTTTCATTTATTATTTGCACTTCAGTGAAAGAATAGAGAGGAAGGGTCAAATATGAGAATATTTATAATGAAAAATAAAAACAAAATTTTGATTTTGAAAGGAAGGGCATGATTGAGAATCAATTGTAATGAAAACATCATGGGACTTCCGAAAGAACCAAAAGGACATGTCAGAGTAAAGGAAATTCAGACCAAATGTAGGTATTTGTTTTGCAGTTTTCTGTAATAATCTCTTTTATATATCTCACTGTGATTTCATTTTGATAATGACAAAACTCTTTGTAGCAAATCCTTAAACGCTTGTTTCACCTGCTGGTTCCTTAACGTATAAATGAAAGGGTTCAAAAGTGGGGCCACTGAGGTATTGAGCACTGAAACTCCCTTCATTAAGGATATCCTCTGTTTTGCTGAGGGTTTAATGTACATAAAAATGCAGCTGCCATATGAGAGGGAGATGACAATCATATGAGAAGAACAAGTCGAAAAAGCCTTTTTTCTCTGGTTGGCAGAAGGAAATTTTAAAATTGTCAGGGCAATGTAGGTATAAGATAGAAGGACTAAAATCAGAGTCATCAGGAGGGTCACCAAAGCTAAGATGAAGCTCATGGTTTCCAAAAACTGTGTATCTGTGCAGGAGATTTGTAGGAGAGGAGCAGTGTCACAGTAGAAATGATCGATGATGTTGGAGTCACAGAAATCCAGCTGTAAGCCTAAGATGAGTCCTGGAAAGATGATGAGGAAACCAGTAAGCCAACAGCTAAGCACCATCTGAATACAGACCCGGCTGTTCATGATGGTGGTGTAGTGCAGGGGCTTGCAGATGGCCACGTAGCGGTCATAGGACATGGCGGCCAGGAGATAAAATTCAGATGCGCCAAGAAGGAAGGCAAAAAATAACTGAGTTACACAACAGTTATAAGAAATGGTTTTGTCACCAGTGGCCATGGTGGCGAGCAATTTTGGGATGCAGACTGTTGTATACGAGATTTCTAAGAAGGAAAAATTTCGAAGAAAGAAGTACATGGGGGTCTTGAGATGAGAATCCAGCAAAGTGAGGGTGATGATTATCAAGTTGCCTGAGATACTTAGCAAGTAGGTGAGAAGCAGGAAGATAAATAGCACGATCTTCAATCCGGGATCCTCTGTCAGTCCTACTAAGATAAACACCGTCACCTTTGTACGATTTTCCATTGTTGTCTCCTGATCTGTTTCTGCTCTAGTAAAAATATTGAGAGAAATATATGTAAAGGATCTAGTGGTAAAATATGACAGTACCAAGGTAAAAATACTAGTAATTCTACTGATTATCTGGAGGAAAGGTACACTTTGCTGAAATTATTACTGTAAGACACACTGTAGTAAAATCTGTCCCTTTGTACACATTGAGAAAATATTTTTCCCCATCTCATATGTCATCTTTATGTTCTTGTTTAGTTATATTTATTATAATTATGTAAAAAGGTGAATTTGCATGTGAAAAAAACTGATTTCCTCTTTTCTCAGTATGTGAGAATCCAAGTGTCATATTATTTAACATTCATCCTGACTGAAGATTACATAAATTTCATTGAGTCAAAGAGCTGGCAGTGCATGTGGAAGAGATGCAAGATGATGATGACTGAAAACAGAAATCCAGCTTTGGCTTCAGATAAATATTGGAATTAATTCAATATAATCGTGACTATAAGTTTTGCAGTTGGTGGCCTTTTGGGATATTTTACTCAGCTAATCAATATTTGATCTCATGCTTTTTGATTCTTTTTTAAAAATGTTATCACTCAGTGTGCTGTATTCTGTCCTGATTTCTATCTCTTTGTCTCTTCTCTTCACATTTACCATTTCTCATTCCAACACTAGATCTGACTGATTGCACAGTATGTCTGATTTTTTTAAAAGATTTATTTATTTATACAAGAACTGGGTACAGATAAGAGGCACATGAGGGTGAGATAATTCACTAGAGACAGAGCAGGGAGCAGAAGACACTGGTGGACCAAAGACACTGCTGAGGGGAGCAGCGGGTGAGGCATGCTATATGGGTAGGTCCCTGGCCGGCTGGGAATTGAACCCGCGCTGCAGAGGCTGTAGACCCCTTCACAGCATAGTGCTCAACCCACTGTGCAACCAGGGAGGCCCAGTATGTCTGATTTGAACAGAATTGAGCAAGTTCAATGTTTCCACAGGATGTTCTTTTGAAAAAGTGAAGAAAATAATTAAGTGAAATGTAAAATATAGTGAGTCAGGGCTCAGAGAGAGAGGAAAATTGAAATGGAGAAGAAAAAGAAAACAGAGGAGGGAGGAGATAAGACAGCAAGGAAAGATATAAAGAAAAAAACTACCATTGAGACTGTTTTTTAATTCAGATGAAATGGTGATTTCTATTTGCTCATTCCTTCTTAACTGATGGAGAGGCCAAGTTACAGCAGAACTGTAATGTACCTCTACTCAGGAGAATACAGAGGAAAAACTCTAGTCGATTTTACTGTAATGACCAGTGACTGAGTGTGCTCAAACACTTCAAGGTAATACTGTCTCAAAATAATATGAGTAAAAGACCATGCTAATTGAAATGAAATTGTGTGTTTGAGAACCGATTAGCACCTAATAAAATAAATGTCATGGAAACAATAGATATAAGCATTTCATCCCATGAGGGCAAATTTCTTCTTTCATGACTTCATTATAAGTGACGAACATTTACTAAAATATTTTCACAGGTCCATGGAGAATGCACTGCAATACACTGAGGAATTGAAGTCAAGGTAACATCCTTGACTATTGTAATTTACCAATTTATTGAGGATACAGAATGCATGAATGAATATAGCAATATACAGTGTCATAAACTTAAAGGTAAATGATCCTGATTTTGGTATGTGGCAAAGGAGACCAGGAGTGAAGATTTTTTTTTTTTTTTTTTTTGCAGTTTTTATTTTTTTTTATTTTTTTATTTTTTTTTAAATATTAAATTTTATTTTTATATTCCCCCATACAATTGCAAACGCCCCATTCTGACCCCAATCCTTCCCCTCCCGCCCCCCACCCCCCAAAAAGTGTCTCTGGTTCATAGTTTTTTGTTGATTTTGATTTTCACTTTCTTATATTCATTTTCCTGGTCCCTTATTTAAGTTTTCTAGATTCCTGCTATGAGTGAGACCATAAGATTTTTCTAGGACTTGGGCCAGTTGGGGAAGATTTGTAAGAAAGCGTGGATCTTTAGCAAGACATTGGAGACAGATTAGTAAGTAGAATATGACATTTTAGGTAGGGTAAACTGTGTGAACAAAGGAAACTAAGCGTGAACTCTCAGACCTCCCCTGGTGGTGCAGCAGTTGAGCGCTGGGCTGTGAAGCTGCCCGCAGGCTCTGCAGCGCAGGTTCGATCCCCAGCCGCCAGCGAGGGTCCCACATGGCGCGCAGACCTCTCCTGCCGCACCCGCTGCTCCCCTCAGCAGTTTATTTTGTTGGTCTGCCTGCTCTGCTCCCCGCTTTGGCTCTGGTGAATTCTCTCACCTTCCCATGTTTCTGACTGTACCCAGTGCTTGTATAAATAAATAAATAAATCTTTAAAAAAAAAAGGCAACTTTATAAAAAAAAAGTGAACTCTCATGGATTTATGAGAAATATATCAGAAGGAAAATGATGCCTTCCTTGGTTCCTACTGACCAGGGCTTTAGTTTTCTTACCTTGCTGCTCATTTCCCACAGCAGGTATTGCCACCTCTACGTCCTACACAAATTCTGAATCTGTCCATTTATCTCCATTTGCATTACTCTTCTCTCTTCAGACTGAACTTTCCCAAACTCCTCATGCATCTTGCTGTATCTTGTTATCTTTCCACTATTACTCATTATCAAGACATAGGATACTTCCACTGAACCTCAATCAGATCATCTGCCAAAATCCCTCCCAACCAGCCCAGCACACCAAAACAACCAAACTCCTTACACTTTAATTTGAAAATAATACAAGACGAGTTTCCTATCCCTTTGTCCATTGTCCTATAAAAATGGGAAAACTCACCAAGTCATCACTGGCAATCGTCAACTGAAACCCAGAAATCTTGCTCTGAGTTTGGTGACTTACTGCTGTGGTGCAACAGGGGGAGAGAGCGAGGGAACTGTGGCCAGGGAGTGGCAGTGCCAGCCAAACAGTTTGGACACTGGCAGAGACTGTGTGGTATGGAGAACTTGCGTGAGGAAATTTTCTTCAGTAATGGGTGAGTGTAGAGCTGCTTGCTTCCATGTGCTGCGATGCTGATTCAATCATGGAGAATCTGGCTGCTTTGGAGTGTCAGAGGCAGGGTCCTACCCGCCCTGCACTGAGATCTGCAAGGGCGGCTGTAATCTGTACACAGCCCACGCTGTGCAGCCACAGGAGCAACAAGGACACAGAGTTCTGGAATTTGGACTCCCTGAAGCAGAGTTTGCTTTGCAGAGGAGGGAAAACGAAGCAAGGTAAACCTCTCTGTCTAGAATAATCCTTCTTCCCCACCAAGACTGATACATCCCCTCCTTCCCTCACCTGTAATGGAGTAAAGTAAAGAAGAGAAACAAACAGAATTAAAGCCACAGCACCCTTCTTGGAAAAAGCAATTAAGGCGATGCACTTGCCTAGGAGACCGAGTATCTGAATGCAGGATGGAAAGGCTGTATCTCAGAGACCTACATAAAGTAGAACAAGCAAGTATTTAACAGAGATTTGGGGATGGAAATTTTAAGACAACTCAGGATTTTAGAAAATATATCCAGAACAAAAAGAGTTGTTCACTAAGATTATAGATAGCTTTAAAAACACTCACACAAGAGGAGAGGGGAAAGATGGCAGAATGACAGAACCCTTGAGTCATGCCTCCCTTCGTGGACACAGTGAGAGAGGCTGGAGGAAGAGTCACATGTGGGTCGGAGCTAGGAAGTGAAGACCAGTGCCTCCGGCGCTGGGAACGACAGGGACATTAAATGGGTAGGCAAGTGTGCAGGAACTGTGCCAAGAAGCTGGGGAAGCCAGATCTCCCTTGTTTTCCCCTGCACTAGCTGCACTAGAGTGAAGGTTTCCCTAAGAGTGTATTCTGCTGAACAGCCCTGATGGCCTGTGACTAGCCTGTGACGGGGTTCAACAGTAGGAAGAAACACTCACCTATCCCGTGTGCAATTTCAGAGTTATGAGGCAGTCTGCAGAATGTGCAGCCGGAGAGAGTGTGTGAGCCACCAGCTGCATAACAAAGGGCACCTGGGATATCTGCGCCTGACCCAGGGAGGTGGGACAGACACCCACCATCCCCAGTGTGTGGCCCAGTGCTCCCCTGCTAAACCAGAGTGTAGGCTCCCAGGGAGAGAGCATCCTGATCGGGGGATTCTAAATAGGCTTCGGTGACCAGAAGTACCCACCTCCCCCGTAGTGGGACCTCCTGGTTACTAGAGAGTTTGAGCCTCCCCAGAGAGCACAGCATGTGATGGTGTCTGGTTTGGGGAGCCAGGGGAGGCACCCACCTATCCCCACTGTATTCTCCAGAGTTTAGCTGCTGTAGTCAGAGACTGTAGGCGCCCCAGGTGAGTCACAGTCTCTTGGTGAGGACTCCTGGGCTGGCCTTCAGGACCAGGAGAGGCTCCTACCTCCCCTCTGTGTCACCTGCTAGTGGGAGAGGCTCCTTGCCTCCTCTCTGTGTCACCTGCTGGTGGGCTCTCAGTTTGGCAGCCAGAGAGTGCGAGTGTCTCCAGAGAGCACAGCCTGCTGAATGCAGGGTGAGCAGGTCGCCTCTGCCTGGTTTGGGGAGTCATATATAACCAACAGGGAAATTTTTCTGCTTCAACAAAGTGAAGTGGATCAGCCATTACACGAAGGGTCAGCAAACTTGTGAATGACTCGGCTGTAAGTATTTTAAGTATGTGGATCATATGGGCTCTATCACAACTTCCCTACTGCCATTATAGTGTGAAAGCTGGCATCGAAAATACAGAAATGAATGAGTGTCTATGTTCCCATAAAATTTCATTGGAGGATATTTAAGTATGAATTTCATATACTTTTCACATGCACAATATACTATCCTTTTGTTTTTTGCCCAACATTTAAAAATGTAAAATCCATTCTGATCTCAACAGCCATTATCAAAATGAGCAATGAACTGGATTTGGCCTATGGGTCATAGTTTGCCAACCCCTTAGTTATAATCAATTTATTTTTTTACTTAGTCAGCTGTTAAACAATACAGGTATGGAAATTTCTGAGAAAAAGAAGAAATGAAATAGAAAACCTGTAGAAGGAAGGAAATAATAGAAATTGGGCCCAGACAAATGAACTAGAAATCAAAAAGAGAGTCAAAAGATCAATGAAACCAAAAGTTGTTTCTTTGAAAAAATAGACTTTTAGCCTGACTCACGAAGAACAAGAGGGAGAAAACTCTAAAAATAGAATCAGAAATGAAAGAGAAGTTACTACACACACCTCAGAAATACAGAGGACCATAAGAGACTAATAAGAATGTGTTTATGCCACAAATTGGAAAATTGGAATGAAACTGGCAAATTCTTAGAAGTCTACAAACTTCCAAACTTGAATAAAAAAGAAATAGAAAACTGGAACAGACCAATTATGAGCAAGGAAATTGAAAAAATAATTAAGTTATTGAAAAAATAATGTGTCTCCAAAAGCAAAAATCCAGGACCACATGAAAAGGTCTCCTTACCCACAAGATCAGAGACCGAGTCTTTGGACTCCAGCTTTCACCCCCTCCTTTACCTACCACAAAGTTATACAAAGAAAACAAACAAAATAAGCCCAGAGAACCTCAACCAGAAGAAAAGCCAATAAGGCAGCTTATATGCCTATGAAATAAGGAGCATCTGAACGCAAGATGGAAAAAGTAGAGACTAGAAATCCAGTGACTTAAATGAAGGTCATAGAATTAGAGGAGTATACAGACAAATATTTTAGATTAATAATTTAACCAAAGCAAATAAGGTATTAGAAGTATAGTCAAACACAGAAAGGCAGGTGAAAGGTCTTAGAAAAGAGATCCAGGAACAAAGAATTCTTTACAAAGAGATGAATGATATGAAAAGAACACACAATGGAGGTGTGAAGGTGTATTCTCCAAATTATATAGTTTCATAAATGACTGATAAATTGATAAAATTTGAGGGGAAAGGCAATTATAGAAACTATAGTAATAGGAGTAACATCTATGGGCTAATGGGGTTCCTATAAGAATTTCCTAAGAGATGCTCTATCATTATGTGATCAGGTAGTGCTGAGATGCACAGGGTAAGTGGAAATCTAAGCCAGTGACCTTATAAAGGAAACCAAGTAAAAGACAGAAACAAATCCTGGAAGCTTGAGGAGTTAATATTCAGAGAGACAGACAGTTGAAGGAGAGAGAGTTCAATACCTCAATGGGGGATAAGAAAGATAAGCCCTGGAAACTGACTTTCTTACTATAATGGATAACATTTACCACTTCTCTGTCCCCTGCAGCATAGTGCAAATAATTTCAATTAGAGTCAGAGATGAACCTGCAGTTGTGATACTTAATCTAATTATCTGGCATTCATTATGTGTTTCATACCACAGTTTATGTAACAAAACTTCCCTAAACTTAGTGCCTTAAAGTAACAATGCATTCATTATTGCTCATCACTCTCTGGCTCAGTTAGACTCTTCTGCTGATGTGGAGAACCACATTTTGGAGAATCAATTGATTTTAAACTGGTCTAGAATGGCCGCATGGAATGGATGAGATCTGCTTGAGTAGACGGCTCTTCTTCGAGCAGGCTAGTCTTGTCTTGCTATCTTGAGAAATCATGTGGGTGCAAGAGAGTTGATGTATGTTTGGCTTCTTGACTCTGTACTCTGAATTAGCACATTACATTCTCTTGGCAAAATCAAGTCCCGGGCTCAGAATAGACTCAAAATATGAGGAAACTTATTTTCCTGTGGAGAGTAGTTTCAGAATCACATTGCAAAAGACAGGGCTGAGTTTTTTGTTTGTTTTAATTGTATATTTGTAGGTAATCTTGGTTTACAACATAGTATGCAATTTAAGGGTATAGTTTCACCTCTTTTTAGATGTATGTTATGACACCAGGCCCATGACCAAAGCATCAATAATCCTCCACCATAGAGGAAGGTGCCCCCTCTTAATCTTTGCTCCCTATCCCTCCCTATCTCTCTAGGAGCCTCAGTTCTGCACCCAGATTTTGAAATTTTGCCTTATTTTAATTTTTGCCTGCTCTGCTGTTTTGCTTATGTGTGAGTGAAATCACTGGTATTTATCTTTTTCCTTCTGATATATTTTGCTTAGCATAATTTCCTCCAGTTCCATTTATGGTGCCACAAATAAGAAAATTTTGTCTTTTTTGAATAGCTCAGTAGTTTCCATTATTTCATTCATTATTGTTGTTCCTGCATGAATTTCTCTTGAGACAAATACAATTAAACCATGCTGTGCATGTAATCCCTAAGCTCTCTAGCCAGAATAGAAATATAGCTCATCTCATAATCATGTTATAATTCGGAATCGTAGACAGTCTAGGATCCTAGCAAGGAAAAGATTCACCTTGTGGTTCTAGGTATGTTCACTATTCATAATTCCCTGTAAAATTACATTGAGGCTGTAGAAAGAACATTCTGTTAGTTTTGGTTTCTATGGATTTCAGCTGCCCAATCATTGGCTTATTATTTTAAAATTAAAATGAGCAAAAATATGTATGAAAATGAACAGATAAATGAGTGTATGTATGCTTCCAAATTCTTAAATATGATTTTAAGAACGATTGTGTAATTCAAAAGACCAGAATATAGACCCTTTATATTTTACTCGATACATGCAGGTTTTATATGGCTCATTTACAAGTAGACTGTCTTTATATATTATTCACACAACAGCATATGCATATGATTGGATATCAATAATATAAAACAAAAAGAAATCTGATTAGATACTTTCTTTACTTTCTCTAAAATAGCCTAAGATCCACAACTCAAAATCAGCAAAGAATATTGCATGCATTTTAATTGGGCAATTATTTAAAAGATTTAGCAAAAGGAATTCAAGTGTCTAGATTCTCATGTCAGACCACTGATTCCAGGAAAGCGTCCATTGCTGGGGTTTGATTATGTTAGGGGACCTTATTCCTTCACCTACTCTCTCCGCTGTATCCACAGATGTCTGACTCTGAGCCTACAATGAGTGGAAACCAGTCCCTCTGCACCAAATTCACCTTTGTGGCTTTTTCCTCCTTAGCAGAATTACAACCGGTGCTCTTTGTTGTGTTTTTAATCATTTATTTGTTTACGGTGGGAGGAAACCTCATCATCATCTGTCTAATCTGGGTCACCCCTTCCCTGCACACCCCCATGTATTTCTTCCTGGTTAACCTCTCCTTTCTGGAAATGTGCTATATCACTAGTGTGGTCCCTCAGATGCTGGTCCACCTACTGGTGGAGAACAAGACCATAAGTGTGGGGGGCTGTGCCGTGCAGATGTACATATTCACCATCCTGGGGCTGACAGAATGCTGCCTGCTAGCAGCCATGGCTTATGACCGCTTTGTAGCTATTTGTTACCCTCTGCGTTACACCCTCTTGATGAGCCCCAGTGTGTGTTTGAAATTAGCTGCAGCATCTTGGACAACTGGGATGGTGGTGGAGTCAGCCCAGACCACCTGGATCTTCACTCTGCCCTTCTGTGGCACAGGAAGGATCGAGCACTTCTTTTGTGACATCATGCCTGTGGTGAAGCTGGCTTGTGTGGATACCTCCCACAATGAAATTGTAATGTTTGCTGTATCCGTGCTCTTCATTATGAGTCCCTGTTTCCTCATCCTGTGCTCCTACACACGCATTCTGGCGACCATCTTGAGAATGCCCTCAGCAGCTGGCCGGCACAAAGCTTTCTCTACTTGTTCTTCTCATATTCTGGTTGTTTCTCTGTTCTATGGCACTGCGTTGTTCACTTATCTCCAACCTAAGGCTGCACACACTGCACAGACAGACAAAGCCACTGCACTCATGTACACAGTGGTCACCCCGGCTCTGAATCCTGTCATCTACACCTTGAGAAACAAGGAAGTGAAGGAAGCCTTTCAAAAGGTAGCACAAAGACACCCGCGTAGACAATGACCTAAAGAGCCACTGTAGCCAAAACACTATTCTGCCAAGAGTTCCCCAAGATTTTATGATCCTTATATCACAAAACAGTGTCATTAAAAAATTTATAGCACAGCAACCCCAAAACACTGGGATGTGTACTACATTTTTCAGTGAGTTTTGGCAAAATTGAACTACGTGGTAGGATCACTAAATTGTCTATTATTCATTCAATCCATATCGTCCCACCAACATAATTACCAAGCATCTCCTGTATCCTGACACAATTCTTTTTTTCATTTTCCAATGGCATTAGGATCAAGGTAAGTATATTTCACACCATTTTAGTGAAGTAAATGAAATGTACTTAAATGGAAAAAAAAGAAAAAATTGATAGGAAATAATAAAATAAGAAATAAGAAAATAAGAAAATTGATAGGAAATAATAAAATTTAGTGTCATACTAAATTTAGAATTTGTGTTCTTAAAGTGGATTATGGAAGTTTAATTTCTCTGCTTTCATACATGTTAATAATCATCTTTAATAATCAACTGAGAAGTTATATAAGTATGATACAACTTTAAGCACTGAATTTATAAATCCAGTAAGAGACATGATTCTTCATACAAAACTAGATTATTCATTTCTTCTTATCCTCTTGTCTTTTATTTTTATTATAGTGAAGTTTTAGAGAAATGTGTCTCTGTGTAACATTCACTCTTGTTATTCCATTTAGAAACCTTGTATAGGAGTTATCAATTTGAATATAATTTCCTATAGGACTGTCCATGAAGGTACATCTCGGAAATGTTGTCTGTTTAGTTCCAGGCCACAGCAAAAAAGCAAAACTCACAATAAAGTGACTCACAAAAAAATTTTTTTTGGATTCTTAGTGCATATGACAGTTAATTTTACTCTACGGTGGACTATTCAGTGTGAATAGCATTATGTTTAAAGTAAATGTAGATACCTTAATTAAAAAGTTCTTTTAGGTGAAAGAAACTTCAGAAGCATGGATGACTGAAGTTTCCATGAGCAGTACCTGTGGGACAGCACAGCCTCACCTTCCAAAGCTACTTCTTAGTTGTCTCTGAAACACATAAATAGCTCACATGTACACACACACACACACACATGTGCGCGCACACACACACTCACAAACACACACATACCCCAGTCTAACAGCCACCGGTCATGTCAGGTCTCTTATATTGTTTGGTTCTCATTTTAATTCTCACTCCTCTGCACAACCACTTAAAGAAGCTGTGCTGTTGCTATTCACCACCAAACTGTTAAGGACTCCATGGCAGGTGTTCCTGCATCACCTCAATCTCTAATTTCCTAGAATACCAGAATGATAATAAAATTCCCAGGAAATGAGATGAAAGAAATCTCATACCCAACATATGCAATATTTTATTGCTTGAACTCCAAAGCAGTTCATCCCAAAGTTTATCCCACACATATCACGAGAGACAATTCAATATTCACTATTGGTTTAGAAGAGAATGAGAAGGGATTGCAAAAGCAATCTCAAATTATGCCCCAATGTAAAATGTAGTGAAGGAAAATGATGTGTACATATTTTTAATTTGAGTAATAAAAAGCTATGGGCACCAACGAGACACTTTCTGGTACCCCCTGCTTCTTTGAGATTTGTTTAGTGCTCGCTCTCCTGTGTTAGGATTTTTTAAACCTATTTTGTCCTCAAAAATATATTTATTCAACTCCAGTAAATGATCCATAATTACATAAAGACCACTTCCTAGGTGTGACTGGTGATAATATGTAGCCTCTGATATTATATATGTTCCAGTAACATTCAAAATATTCCCCTATTTGACTTTAATTATTGACATTTTTATTAATTTATTGAAAGCTAACCACTTACATTATACAGTACCAATTCAAAATCTGAATCTAGTTTCTAATTGCTATCTCACTTGAAAGTTCAACGTAACTTAACTGGAAATGCCTAAATCAGCAAGTGAACCCCATGAAACAAGAGAATCCATTTGCTTCTCTTTATTTCTGCTGGCATAATCCAGATAGTCATAATTTCTTACCTTTTATTTATATTTTGAAATCATTTATTATTTTAAATAATTTATTATTGTAATGTCCACGAAGGAAAACACTGCCTAGAACTTCGTAACTGTAGTGTCATAATGATATGTAGGCAGATGAATCCAGTTTTAGTAATACACTGGAATTTTCTATTGCATGAGATAGAAATATCTTCTCCCCCTTTTTATCTTTTTTTAATGTAATTTTGACATGAGTTATACAATCTTCAATAAATCAAAGGCCATTTTAACTAAGTTCTGAGGACTTATATCAGACTATTTTTTTTATTCTTTTTACTTCTAGAAAAGATTAGTTATTAGTCTACATTCTTCTGCTAGTTTGATACATATTTGTCTGGTTAAAATTTTCAGTGGCTATCCTAAAAACTACATTAATTAAAATAGATTTTAATTATTTTATTACTTAATCATACAGATCTTACGTGCATATACCCTTTAAGAGTGATTCAAGAATTATGAAAATTTCTTTACAAATATTATTCATTATTTTGGGATAAACAATTGAGAGTTATCCTTTTGTTTGGTGTGATTCCTGAGGATTTTAATTTAAAAGTTTTTTCTATCCTCAGAAGGAAAAAGCTAAACAAATTACATAATACAAAAGTACTCTTTGTGACCAGATCACCTGACTCAAGAGAAATTTTCCAAATACACAAATCAAAGTATGTGGTTAGTGTCCAAACCATTTCCAACATTAGACAGAAATGCACTATCATCATGTTTTAATTTTTAAAATAGTACGTAAGTAAGATTATATATGCTTTCTCTATTTATACATATATAGTTGCAGATACCAACTATTTGTTAATAATTGTTAATTGATCTGGCAACATTGATTAATCTGTTAAGTAAGATAGTAAGCCGGAATAGGATTTTGTACACTTGAAATTGTCACCAAATTATACATTTTCAATATAAACAATGCAATCATTCTTCAAATTATTAACTGACGAATAAATGCCTTAGGAAAAAAATGACATTTAACTATGTTCAAATCCTACCAGTTAAAGAAATTCAGAGGCAAATTATTTCATGGTGCACAGTTAAGATGCCTTGTTCTTGAAAAGCTCTCTAGCAGTGCCATCTGCTGGACAGAATTTGTAGTGATTGCATCTGAATACCTTTTCTGTACGTTTACATTTTTTAAAAAATCAGGCACTGTGACATTTTAGCTCAAAAATTGTGACATGAAGGCCTCCCCTGGTGGCGCAGCGGTTGAGCACTGGGCTGCGAAGCTGCCCCCAGCCTCTGTAGCGCCGGTTCGATCCCTGGCCGCCGGGCAAGGGTCCCACATGGTGCGCAGACCTCTCTTGCCGCGCCCACTGCTCCCCTCAGCAGTGTATTTTGTCAGTCTGCCTGTTCTGTTCCCCGCTCTGGCTCTGCTGAGTTCTCCCAGCCTCCTGCGCTTCTGACTGTACCCATTGCTTGTGTAGATAAATTAATAAATCTTTAAAAAAAATTGTGACATGAAATTTTATTTAAAATATTGCATTTACTAAAATTACTTAAAATTTGCCCAAAGAAATAGGATCATTCCCGGTGTTTTCCTTTCCTATACCAAGGAAAGGACATCTCACATATGACTCATGTTTTTTATCACCTAACTCTCTTGTTCTCTACAGCATTTTTAACTCCCTGCTCTTTCCCCAATAACTTATAAACTGTTTGAGAGGCGAGATAGTTGGTACCATGGTAATCAGTGGTTTCCACAATATTCATTCCAAGAGATTCATGGACTGTATCCTTCAAATGGGACCTTGAAAACTCTAAATAAATACTTAAAAATAAATGATTGAATGTGTATTGTGTTTACTTGTAGATGTTACTACATTTGAAAGACAAGTAAAATAATAAAGCAAGTTTATACTGCAGGTGGCCAGATTTTCTATGTTTGACCACAATGGATAAGCTTGGACTGAAGTCGCTAAGGAAGCTGAATTTTATAAAAGATTGAAGCAATTATCGTTATACACTGAACGAACATGCAAAGATGTTTGGCTTATTTTCAAGAGAGTAAAAAGATAGAATTAAAAAACAATGGGAAGAAATCACAGGAAAACATCTTTTTGATCAGTTTGAAGGAAAAACTTTTGAAAAGCAGAGATTTTGGAAAATGAAATGGCATGCTTTCAAAAATATGAAATTCTCAATTGATGAATATAATCAAGGGTATACTCATGGGTTGTTGATTTAATGTGTATAGAAAGTGTTCGGTTTGAATTGTCAGATTAAATTATTTGACATAAATAATTTGCACTTGACTATATTAAACTCTAAAAGACAGTATCTAAAATTTAAATCTCCATTGTCTTATACCTTTCTGATCCCCATCCTCTGTCTTTAGGTAGAAAATGGTTTCCTGTTTTCCAGGGAATTATTTACATGCATGAATGCTATAAGATAAGCCAATATAGTTAAACATTTCTTTAAGGATAATTAATTTTTGTTGCAGAATCAACTGATAAAATCCTCAAAAATAAATTTTGATAAATTAATTTAATAATTTAATAAATTCTCTTATTTAATTAAAAGTGATAACAAGAATATCTATCCAATTTAGGGGAGAATTTTAAAATTTAAAACATTGTCTTTCTCATTTAAAGTAAGAAATCTTCCACCTCAGAGTGATTAAGATTCTAGGAAATGTAAAAAAATAATTTTGAATTATAGCCTAATTATTAGTGTCTGAAATTAATCTCAGTCAGAAGATACAAAATGTTTCATTTTTGATCAACGGCTAACATAGTGCCTTGCTTTCCTTTTCAATTATTCTTAAGGTAGAAGTAGGAAGGCTATTGCATTGTTTTAGGTAGATTCCAGGCAACTTCAGTGTTCTCATCAGTTCACCTTCTGCTTTAATTACCAGTTTTAATCAGTCAGGAAGTTCTTCCTCATAATTATCTAACCAGAGTTATTCGCAACTCTTGGTGGGTGGCTGCAGGAAA